CTTGGAGAAGACCTTTTTGGGTTGAATACGTTTGGGGATCTTTGAGCTTCCTGAATCTGAAGATTTGTGATTTTTCCTATAGCTGGGGAGTTTTCTGCCACTATTTTGTTGAATATGTTTTCAATGCAATCTCCTTTTTCCTCCCTTTCTGGCATACCCATGACTCGGATATTTGAGCTCTTAAGGTTGTCTGATATCTCTCTCAGATTTTCTTTAATGCCTTTGATTCTTTTTTCTTTTTCTTTTTTTTGTCTGCCTGTGTTATTTCAAACAGCCCATCTTCAAGTTCAGAGGTTCTCTCTTCAACTTCCGCAAGCCTGCTGGTTAAACTCTCCATTTTGTTTTTTATTTCACTGAATGCATTCTTCAGTTTGGCAAGCTCTGCTACATTTTTCTTCAGGGCATTGATTTCCTTGTACATTTCTTCTTTCAGGTCCTGTATACTTTCCTTGTTTCATCATGTTGTCTGGCTGAGTTCTCTTGTATCTCATTCAGTTTCCTTAGAATTATCACTCGGAATTCCTTGTGAGACATTTCAAGGGCTTCTTGTTCTATAGGATCTAGAGCTTGAGAATTATTACCCTTTGGTGGTGTACTTTCTTGATTTTTTGTATTTCTGGTATCTTTTCTTTGATGTTTATTCATTGTGGCAGGGGGTTTCACAGTCCGCAGGGTTGACACTACTGTCTGACTAAGATGTTGCTGTGGTTGCCAATTTGGTATGGCTACCTCAGTGACTGCTCAGTTGGCCACTAGTGCCTTGCGTGTGTAGTTGCCTCAGGTCTTGGGCCTCTCCGGGGAGCCACCTCTCTGGTCAGCTTGGACTCAGCTGGGCTGCTGGGTCATGGGGCGGTATGGCAGGGTGTGTGGTCTCTGCCGAGCATCCACCTCCCCCTGCTGGACGTCTCCCTGTTCTGTGCGCACTGGGCTGGGCTGCTACTGCTGGATCGAGCAGCATCGTCCCTTCCACAGGGTGGGTGGTCTCTACGGAGCTTCTGCCTCCCCTGCTGGATGTCTCCCCGCTCCGCTCACACTGGGCCGGGCTGCTGGATTGCGCAGCGGTGGTGTGGTCCCCGTGGAGCTCCCACCTCCCCTGGAGAGCATGGTGTTGTGACCTCCAGGGCACTGTGAGGAAGACAAAGGACTCTAGAGGAGTCAGGAGGGCCTCGCTTGCATTCTTCAAGGGTCTTGGGAGTTGTGAGCAATCTCCTCCAGGTCTCTTTGTGGTCACCAGAAAGTTTGTGAGGCTGAGAAGTCCAAAGTCCATCTGGTGGTGGTGACAGTGACTGCGAGGTCTCACATTGCAAGATGGTGGAAGCAGAGAGAGCAGAGAGACGTTTTTATAACATTTAAAAATTTTAATTGAAACGCTGGTTGTCCATAGTTATGGGGTACAGAGTTATATTTCAATACATGTATACAATGTCTAGTGATCAAGTCAGGGTAGTTAGCAAATTCATCACTGTAAAAATCTATCATTTCTTTGTGATGAGAACATTTAAGCTCCTCTCTTTTAGCCATTTGAGAACATACAATAAATTACTGTTCATTATAGATGCCTAGCACCACTGTACATCAACAGAGGTTATTTTTCCTATCAAGCTGTAATTTTGTGTCCATTAACAACCTCTCATTATCTCCCCTCCCCCTCCCCTATCCTATTTCTGGTAACCACAGTTCTCTCTACTTCTGAAAGGTCAACTTATTATTGTTATTATTATTAGATCCCACAAATGGGTGAAAACATGTGGTGTTTCTCTTTCTGTGCCAAGTCTTTAATTACAGGACCCAGCTGCATCACTGAACAAGCATCTACTGAGCCGCCCTCTCTAGTCAGAGGCAGAGGTCTATACAGGGGATGCACATAGGGGTCAGGGAGTTCAGGGCCTGGATGGCCAGTCCCACATGGCCACGGGTGCCCAATGCTGCCCACAGAAGTCTCTCCACAAACCCTCTCGGTAGGACTCTCCCTCCCTTGCTCTCAGGCCTCCTCCCTTCCTGATGAAATTCGGTGTCTCAGCCTCTCAAGTTGGCCAGCCTGAAATGTTGACTAACGGCTCTCGTCCCTTGCCACATTGCTGGGTTCTGGGGACTCAATGAGCAATTTGTAAAGGGCCTTGAGAGCTGATGTGGGATGCAGGCTTTTCAAAGACTGGGTATGACGTGGGTGTCATAGTCACAGAATTCCTGAAGGTCACAGTCACCATTTTAATAAATTGTCTCTTTCACTTCCCTAAATTCTGTTTTGTTTCCTAGAAAGGAGGCCGGGTTAAGGATTAACCTCATTGTGATCTGTCCACAGTATTTAAATTCCAGATTCACTTACTCATATTTTTCAAGGCCTCTCATATACGAGGGTACTTCAAAAGGTTCATGGAAAGATTTGTATTATCTTTCAATTCTATTTTTCCATGAACTTTTTGAGGTACCCCTCTACCTACCTACTATCTATCAATCTACCCTATTGGTTCTGTCTCTCTGGAGAACCCTGACTAATCCAGGACCAAACTACAAATATTCAGAGAAAAGCAAGCAGGCCATGAATAATGTAAATCAGTGAGTAATAAATGATTCTATTTTATTGGAGAGGTGGCAGATTCCACGATTGTTCTGTTTAGCTTTATAATGAATATTTTAGTGCTTTTTAAAAATTTAGGGAACCAGGCGGGGAGAAGGGCTTGCATCGTGGCTGCCCCACCACCCCTGTTCCCATAAATTGGGGCTGCAGCCTCCCGCAGCGCTGTCTGCTGCTCCCTGTTCCACATCCCCTCTTGTACAGTGCCAGCCGTGTCACCGATACACGATGACACCATAGCTGCTTTTAACTGTCAAAGTGGATATTGTCGCCATCAATACCCCCCCCCCATTGACCTCAACTACATGGTCTACATGTTCTAGTATGATTCCACCCTTGGCAAGTTCTGTGGCACAGTCAAGTCAGAGAACGGGAAGCTTGTCACCAGTGGGAAGGCCATCACAGCTTCCAGGAGTGAGATCCGCCCACATCAAATGGGATAACGCTGGTGCTGAGTATATTGTGGAGTCCACTGGTGTCTTCGGTACCTTGGAGAAGGCTGGGGCTCACTTGAAGGGTGGAGCCAAACGTGTCATCACTTCTGTCCCTGCTGCTGACACCCCCATGTCCATGATGGGTGTGAACCATGAGACCTATGAAAACACCCACACGATCGATCGTCAGTAATGCCTCCTACTCTGGCAATTGCTTAGCCCCCTGGCAAGGTCATCCACGACAGCTTTGACATTGTTGAGGGACCCATGACCACAGTCCATGCCATCACTGCCACCCAGAAGACCGTGGGTGGCTTGTCTGGTAAACTGTAGCGTGATGGCCGTGGGGCTCTGCAGAACATCATCCCTGCATTTACTGGCACTGACAAGGCTGTGGGCAAGGTCATCCCTCAACTGAATGGGAAGCTCACTGGCACGGCCTTCCATGTCCTCACTGCCAACGTGTTGGTTGTGGGTCTGACCTGCCATCTGGAGAAAGCTGCCAAATATTAAGACATCAAGAAGGTGGTGAAGAAGGCATCGGAGGTCCCCCTAAAAGGCATCCTGGGCTACACTGAGGGCCAGGTTGTCTCCACTGACTTTAAGAGTGACGTGCACTCTTCCACTTTCAATGCTGGGGCTGGAATTGCCCTCAATGATCACTTTGTCAAGCTCATTTCCTGGTATGACAATGAATATGGCTACAGCAACAGGGTGGTGGGCCTTATGGTCCACATGGCCTCCAAGGAGTGAGAGCCCCCAGGACCACCAGCCCCGGTGAGAGCACAAGAGGAAGACAGAGACCCTCAGCTGCTAGCGAGTCCATCCCAACTCAGTCCCCAACATGCTGAGAATGTCCCTTCCTTGGTACAGTTTTCATCCCAGGCCCCCTGAAGAAGGGGATGGACCTAGGGAGCCCTACCTTGTCACGTACTATCCATAAAGTTCCTTGCATGCAGCCAAGAAAAAAAAAAAGATTACCCCTAAGAAACTGTAGAACCATAGAGGAGAGAAGTTGTCCCAAAAGAGGCCATGAAAGACGTGAGATGGGGCTTTTAAGAGGTGATTACACTGTGAGGACTGTGCCACGTGAATGGATCAGTCCATTCTGGGGTAATGGGTGTGGTTCTTACGGCTTCATAAGGAGAGCGAGTGAGCAGGTAGCTGTTTCTTTGTTTGGAGGCTGGGACAGAGCCATGCACAGGAGGATGTAACGTAGGAGGGTTGGACGAAAATGCTGGTTAAAAAACAAAAAGCAGAACAAACCCTTACCTCACTGAGACCCGAGACTGGCAATGCAGTGCTGAATTCCACCATCAGCCATATTTAGAGTGGCTGCTTGTCTGCAGGGCTGGAGGGTGGGCACGCCAGGTCCCTGGGGGGACCTCCTCATCTGCCACCTGTCTCGCTGGCTCTGAGACTCTGTGCTTTATTCTGCTCATGTGGTGGCCCTGGTCTACCTTTGGAGGCCCCCATAAATCCTATGGCAGGGGAGCTCAATGTTTTTTCTTCAATATTCCTTATATGAACTTTGAAAAATCATGCACTTTACTGCATATTATAAAATTAATACCTAAAAATTCTCATCATAAGCTTACTTACAAAGAATGCCATTTCCAGTGTATGGTAAATCTGACAATTTGACTCCCATCGTCATCCCTTTAAAAATCCATAAGATTTGTAGTCAGAAATTTTACCTCATTAATAGTTGTTTTAAACTCATATTTCTATCCTGATTTTCTTACAAAATTGTGTCCTAATGTATTTTTTTGTAGTGCTTGGAAGCTGTAGTGGGTTGAATTGAGTCCGTACGAAAGATTTGTCCAGGTCCTAACCCCTGGTACCTGTGAATGTGACCTTATTTGTAAATAGAGTTTTTGCAGATGTAATCAAGTTAAAGATCTCAAGATGAGATCATACTGCACGGGAGGGCCCTAAGTCCAGTGACCGGTGTTCTTACAAGAGGAAGAAAAAGGAGGTTTGAGAAACAGATGTGCACACTGAGGGAAGCCGGCCACGTGAAGACAGAGGCAGAGACTGGGAGGATGCTGTCACCAACGGAGAGACATCTGGAGCCACCAGAAGCTGGAGGAGTCAGGAAGGAGGCTGCCCCAGATCCTGCAAGGGAGTGCGGCCCTGCCCACACCTTGATTCAGACCTTGGGCCTCCAAAACTTGAAGTAAATAAACTTCTGTTGTTTTAAGCCACAAAGTTTGTGATAATTTGGTATGGCAGCCCTAAGAAACTGATACAGTACCATATGCTGTAATTCAATATACATGGAAATAAAATTCCTTGTGATCATAAGTTTCAAAGTTAAAAAATATATATATTTTGTCTGGATTTACGTGGTAGTACAATTATTAGAGTAAAACAATAAAGATATATTACAAATTTTGATAAATCATTTTCAACACGAAAGGTAGTTTTATTGGAAATTAGTTACTTTTGAAATGGATGGGGCTTTTTTTCTTCAATTAGTTCAGATATCTGTAGCAGAAAAGCACTTACTGCTGGAGCATGGCAAGTTCACCATCCTCTATAACTTTATTTTGGATATCCGTCTCTGTCTCAGTCACTCTCGCTCCATCTCTGCCTCTGTGCTCTGTGACAAACCTTGGTCACGTAAATAAGTACATGCAGATGAAAGCAGTCTTTTTTTTAAAAAAAAAAATAGGCGATTCACTAAATTATTTGCACTACTTCCGTGATGCGTCAAATAAACACATACTGATCTACCATCGAAAAATCATTTTAATGATCTACCAACTGGTAACTCTATAGGTCTACCTTCAAGTTTTTCAAAACAAAAAACTTCGAAGCAGCTGTAAGGCAAAATAATTTGATACCTAACCTGAATAACCTTTTATTTTCTGGTGTCTGTGGCCCATCCACTAAGGACCCCAAGCTTCTCATGGCCTGGCTGCCCAGATTCCCACTACTATGATCTGCTGAATATCTTTTTGTTTACTTTAACTTCACCAGATTCAGTTTCTCTCATTTGCAAATAAGAGCCACGGAGACGTGCTATTCCTCCTCAATAGCATTTCCTCCCAGAGGAAGTGTAAGGAGACAGGGACTCTAAAGATGGGTTTGGAGGATACCGGCTAATGGGAGTGGGGCTGGGAATTCCAGGTAGCAAGCAAAGCATAATGTAAAAGCACAAGTATCTTCAGGGAGCCTCAGATATTCTGGTGCACCTGTCACGTAGCTGGGAGAGTGACTCCAGTTGGCTATGGTTCAGTGAGGGGTGCAAAACTGGCCTTGCAAATCTCCCTTGGGCTGCTCTTCTGGAGAACGCTGACCTGCTCTCCATGGGGAAGGGAAGCTTGGGGACGTCACTCCCAGCCTGACCTAGTTGACAAGAGGACAATGCAGTGCATGACTTGACCAGACCTGCAGTCTTTGCAGAGAACTCAGGTAACAGAGTGGATGCTGCAGTGGGAAGTGGGAGGCAGGCTGCAGGGACTTACTGTCATTTGTGTGACGTGAGGAAGAACAGCCAGGAGGCAGGAGATAGGGGCCGCGTGGGCACAGAGTCTCATTGGACCTGGTTGGTGAAGAAGACGGGAGCCTCCAGAACAACTCTCAAGTCTCGGGCTTGGGAATCTAAAGGAACCAAGACATCGGAGAGGGCAGTCTCCCCGTGTTGGGAGGGTGATGGAAGCCGTCTAGGAGCTAGACTTGGCACCACCTCCAGGACTCCCTCCAGGATGGGACAAAGCTAGCTCAGAAAGACCGTAGGCTTTGCTGGTGGGAGAGGGGTCTGTCCATCCTTGCTCAGGAGCACTGCCCCACACCCAGATCCGTGGCTGCAGGGAGCGACAGTCACCTCGGCCTCCCCACCACAGCAGCACACAAAGGGCACTGGTTAACTTTTGATGAGCTCCCACCTGGGCCATGTGGGTGACTCAGCCATAGCCAGGACAGACAGACAGATGGACACACTTGAAGTTACATCAAGCTCAGCAGGGATCTGACAGAGGAGCCCAGTGTGAACCAGGGCCAGCCCCAGACCAGGGTCGGGGAAGACTCAGCAGCCCCAGAAGGTTGATGGGAGAATTGGCAAGACCGAGAATGGCCGAAGAATGTGCTGGAAAGAGGAACCAGCATGTCGGAAAGCGAGTCTGGGGGCCCGACCACACTGCGAGGGGAGCTGGCAGGAGAGGGGACTGGACCGGCCTGGCATTTGTCACATCTGAGCACCGCACGGCAGTGCAGAAGGGCGGGCAGACCACTGCATAACCCCCGATATATATATATATTCTATTTTCTAAATAAACTGAACTCTCTTTAAGAAATTGTGTCAAGTGATGAAATTCGTAGTTGAAATCATTCAGCAAACCGTGCTAAGAATGTTCGAGGCCTCGGATGAAGTTTTGAGATCATCGGCACAGTCTTCGCTTTGCTCTGGGCCGTCACTCATCGGGGCCCATGTCTGAGCCTTGTCTGGATGTACAAAGCTGCATCGAGTCCTCTCGTGGCCACTGACCTCATCAACCAGTGGCCATCAGGGGACCTGGGGCCTCACTCGAGGGGAATCTTCTGACCTGGACAGCATTGCTCATGCGACCGACGCTTGCTCACATTCTGCCGACCTGACGGTGGTGATTCACCACGGCTTAGCTCTTGCACCTCTGTTCAGAGATGACCAACCAAGTCGATGCAAATTACTCACTGGAATGAAAGGTTTATTGAGTCGGCTTAATTTTTTAATTCCCATTCATGTTCAACCCACAATCTGTCATTTGGCCAACTGTTATGATTCAGTAACTTAAAAGAACTTTTAGTTTAATGTATTTTCCACTTGAAAAAAAAAATCACAAAACACTTGCTTTTTTTGTAAAATTTATTCAGACAACCTAATGGTTTTTCTTTTGGAATTGATACTTCATTTTGCTTTGTTTCAACTGGAATATCATCAGGACTGTGATAGATTCTGCTTTGTTTTGTCTTTTTTTTTTTTTCATGACTGGTAAGGGGATCGCAACCCTTGGCTTAGTGTCACCCGCACCGCGCTTAGCCAGTGAGCGCACCGGCCATCCCTAAATAGGATCTGAACCCGCGGCCAGAGCGACGCTGCACTCCCAGCGCTGCACCCTCCCGAGTGCGCCATGGGGCCGGCCCAAGATTCTGCTTTGTTTTAATGAGTATCTTTATTTTGTTTCATATGTTCAATCACTTTTTAATCACCATTTGTCAGATTAATCTACTAGCTCTAACAACTACAACTTTCTTCAAATAAAGCCAAATCTCTAGAGAAGTTTCGTTTTCTGCTGTTTAATGACTCCCACTTCACAGCAGTATAACAGATGATATTTTGCTGAAATTAAATGCCAGTGTTGGGTTTAATAGTAAATGGAAAGAGTTATGTATTTTATTTTTCTCTGGTTATTATTTCCATTTTAAGCATAATGGATCATCATGGGAATCTTTGTCATTATCATAGATATTACTGTTTTTTTTTGTTTGTTTGTTTTGTTTTTGTCTTTTTCCGTGTCCGGCAACGGATCGCAACCCTCAGTGTTGCCCCCGCACCGGACCGGGGACCGGCAACAGGACCGCAACCCTCGGCGTTGCTCCCGCGCCCCGCTCAGCCAGTGAGCGGGAACCGGTCCGCATGCGGGATCCGAACCCTCAGGCGGGAGTGCCGCCGCGCTTCCCAAGCGGCGCATGCCGGCCCCGCACTTCACAATTTCTGCTGGGGGAAATCTGCAAGGCTCAGTAGAGCCCCAAACTGTCTTTGCAGCACTACTCTGTGCCCAAATAG